TGTTTCTGGTCTTCGCTGCGCAACATAATATTGTTTTGCATAGCACATCGGAACATTACGCCGTATACGCCGTGCTATGGGTTTGTCTGTGTGTGTGTATGCTATGCCCACTAATTTGCGCTTGTTTTTCTTTCACCTTCCGTTGACACTATTTCGGTCGCTCTCACTAGCTCGTCGTGTTGTGTTCACATTATTAAGGATGTTGGATGTTGACTAACAGCATTTCAGGCAAAACATGGTGCATTTTGTATTTGGAAAATAAATTTCCGGCTCAGTCGTTGATTTGCAAAACAGAAACCCCCTTTTAACGGAGCCTACACATATCTGGTAGCTGACACCCACACGCTACATTTGCAGTTGCACTAGCAGCAGCAGCAGTTGCAGTAGTCCTATTACTTGTCATGTGGACATGAATGATGCACATAGCTGCAGGTTCTAGCTATACACATCCTTTCACACTTCAACACGCTTTTGCTATAATTTCCTGTGCACCAAGAGCCAGAGTGTAATTCAACACACAACACGATGCATATCTAAAGTGCGCCTTGACTGCCTGACTGCCTGGCTGCCTGCCTGTCTGTCAATCTACACTAATTCGAAATAACTAAAGTTATCATATTCTAATAGGAGCTTACTTTCGGAATATTGCCTTGTTAATTGAATTGACAGCTGGCAGCAAATGACCTTCATCCGGCCAATTGCAGTTTGGCAAATTGACTTTTTACGGCTGCCTTACGGCAAATATGCAGCGATGCTTTCGCAACTGGAAATTGAAAGGCAGACGTGATTAGCATCGACCTAGAAAGCTTTCTAGTCCACGCCCATTGAGCAATTGAGACACAAATTTGGTAAGATAACAACAATAACAATAGCAGCGACAGCAACAGCAACGGCAACGGCAACAGCAACTACAAAACAAAGTTAAACAATCGACGCGCGTTGAACAAATTTCAATTTCAATTTCAATTGGCTGCCCGTTTTAATTGGCATTCAGCGCGTCGTGCCGTTCGCTAACCAACTTGGATTGGGCTGTCCAATGGCACTTGGCCCGGCTTTTAAACGTGTGTCGCCAGCGCCCCAAATTTGCCATTGCATTGACCAAAATGGGCGATTCGCCGACGTCAATTGCGTCAGCAGCAATCAGCGGCAACTATTGAGCAATTGGTCAAATGCTTTTCACTATGTCAGGTTCAAACTCGAAACATGTTCGCTGCCAGTCGTGCAGCTGACGCACAAGCGCCGGACGACGGACGCCGGACGCCGGGAAAGCACAAATAATTTGGCATAACTAAATATATTTTGTGCTGTTTGTTGTTCACGTCATGATTTATTAATATTCCGTTGATGTAATGGAACTATATAATTTCTGAACCATATGCAAATATTTGTGCTTATATCAAGTAATTATCGTATTCAGAATAATATCACATCAAACTTTAACAAAAGAGCTTTTACGACAGGCAGTTGCTCTTACACTACTAATTATTCACGATCCTTTGTGTGATGTGGAATTATTAAAACTTCCTTTTATTTTCATCGAATAATGTTTGTTTTTCTGTTACAATTTAAGTGACATATTTATGAAAAAGAAAAACTTAATAAAATGTTAAATCCATTTCAATCCACACCCAATTTTTTTTACTGTGTATAACAGTGCCGCAAAACATGCTTTGGCATGAATTTCGTACCACTTTTCTTCATTTTGGGGCCATAAATCAGCTGGCAGTATGTGACATATTTGGCAATCAAGTATACGCAGTGTGTGACACTGTGAATATTTTAGCGAGGGTAATGCATATATTTAACGAAATTTGATCAACTTATATACATTTAATCGAATGGCAAAGTTAAATACTGGCATGTGCTGGTGTATATGCAGCACAACTGCTGCGTTGACGAAATTGTGCGCCAACACTCAAGACAAATACTTCAAAGCCACTTGAAAGCCAGCAAGCAATTGTTGCAAAAATGAAAAGCGTAAAGTGTTTTGTTGAAAACGTTCCAAAAACAACACGTTCTATGTGCCAGTCGGCAAATGTAAACAAACTGTGGGCCAAAAAACAACGCAGTCAATAAAATTGCGCCAGCTGGCAGGCTGCACTGAATGAAAAGGGGATGCTGCAAAAGAAATAGCAAAATAAATGCGGACAAAATATTTGCCATGCAAATAGGACTCGAAAAAAGCTCCACTCTGACAATATTCGAGTGCAATTAAATGCAAAATATTTAACAATGCAGCAATGCATAAAAATGACAGAATCGCATACAAAACTCTTGTTAAATTATATGGGAATGGCGGAATGGCAATCAATGAATATGTTAATTGTGCGCAATAAGTGCAGCGATAGTTAACTAAGAAGTTTTGGGAAAGAGATAGCGAGATGAGTTGAGATGAGTCTAGTAGAGTGTGGCTATGAGGAGAGAGCTATGCACAATACTTTGAATTGAGTTAAAAAGTAAAATCTGTTTAATAAATTAACTATATAGTTCACGCCCTAATTGAACTTATTGATCAAATTAAACAGCAATTCCTATTGCACTAATCAAACTAATGTATGGCTGACACAGCTGCCAGTGTCTGCTCGCTTACTCTCCACACACGGTCTTTTATAAGACTCACCATATTCATAATCAATTTAAGTATAGCTCACGCAATAGGTCTTCTTTATAACTTATAAATTTGCCGGTCAACATATGCATTGAGTAAAATTTTACTACGCTGTGATGAGGTCTTTGTGTGCATTGTTTCAAGTGGCACTCGGCGAGCACAATTCAAAGAACTTATGCATCAGGCCCCCAAACTAGATCATTCTGACAGATAAATTAAGTGTTGCAAAAGCGACAGCGACAACAATATCAACGACAACAACAGCAGCGACACATTTCAACATGTTCAACGTCGAGTGCTCTTATTTGATGACATTTAACAGAGACTAGCTAATACCTTGCCAATGAACAGGTGCTTAATTAAGTGTCATATTTTGATATATATGAATTGTCAATGAAATAGGTTTATGAAAATTCTAATTTCTTGTATATTAAATTTGCTTAGATTAATAAAAAAATACTTTTACCTATACTTATGCATGCGTGATTCGGCTTTTTTGTACACGATGACGCATTGAACTGCATTACAGTTCAAAACTTAGATTTTTCATTAGCTCTGAGAGCAGAGTATTTAGAAGTCGTCTGCAACTGACTTCTTGTATTTCAGGGGACATCAAGATGAATTTCCGAAGAATTTTATGTAAATTTAACATGAATATTTTCTTTTGAATATATACATATTTAAAAAGAAAAAGAAAAAGAAAAATAAACGAAGAAAGCATACGAATATGTTTTCGAACAGAGCACGGCGGATACGCAAAGTGCGCCAATTTGCACGGCAGATTACATCACAGCCCCTCAGCGAAGACGAAGGCGGGTGCAGAGCATCTCGACATGTCATATGGCTTGCATTTAATTAACAAGCTAATTTTTTAAAACACAAATCGCTGGGCGTTGCGATGCGCCAGAAGCAGATCAAGAGCGAGAGGAACTACTGACAGCCAAAGCAGAGGAATACGTTTGCCGCCAGCGTGGGGCCCAAAGAGATGGAATATAGACGCTGGGAGATGGGGCGGTGCCAAAAATATGAACACCAACTTTTATATGCGTTCACAGAGCTTGCTGTTCTATGGGCTGCCTAATGAGATGAGAGATACGAACCGCAGCCAATGCATAAGACATGGAAACATTTTTGTTAAAAATAAAATTGTTTAACTTTGATGTGATTTGAACTTATCCTTAAATATTTTGTGGCAAACGCCCCAGAAACGGGGAAATTATAATACTAGATAATATACTGGCAATACAGTGACCATTACTGAATTTGTTAATCGTGACTTTAAGTTGCTTTATTATTTTAATTTGTATCCAATTATTTGGCTAAAATATATATGTCACGAAAAAGCATAGCAAAGCTCAAATTTCTTGACATCTTTTTATATTTTACATCAAAGAAACATTTTAAGTTTTTATCTTTGGTATTTGATAATCTTATAATCTTTTTAATATATTTGAGGTATTTCTTAAACCTATTTCATTATAATTGAAGGAATTTTTAACTGTCACTTCTTAAATGCCACAAATATATTCTAGCTTAGTTTAATCCAAAAATTAATATCCATTTCATGTAGCTTCAGCCTTAGCCGACAAGGCAAACGTTCTAATCAAGAAATACAACAGCGCCAACAAATTTACAGTGAAACATATTAAAATGCCACTCACACGATAATCCCCATTTACCTAGTTCTCTTTTTCTCTCTCTGTGTCCCTCTCTCTCTCCCGCTTTGTCCCTCTGGCTTTGGCTCGCTTAAATTACAAAAAGTTTGCTGACAAAATGGTTGGGATGTGGGTGTTGGGTCGTGATTTAGGGTTGGAGCTGAGGTTTATTTAGCTACAATAAGCTGCAAATTTTGCATATTTCATAGCTGTTGACAACTAACGCTGTATGTGTGTGTGCTGGCGTGGGTGGCAGCTGGCAGGTAAGCCAAGCAAAATAATAGCTAAAATTTGTATAAATAAAAATTGCAATTTAAAACTCGCATCGCTACATCCAATGTATTTCTCTGTATGCATGTGTATCCACTTGGCAGTTAGTTGCCTTTGTCTACACAGCAGCTTAGCGGCTGCCATAGATAGTGGTCATGGGTTACCTGCAAAATAAACTATATGGATTTCATTGTGAACTTTTATGGCAGCATTCAACCATACCTACACGGACAACTATGTTGGTCCAATTATAAATGGTACCAAAAAGAGATTTCCAATGCCAGATCAAATGATACCCTGCCTGCAGATACACCGACTGAAAGTGAAGCGATATTACATCATGTTTACATTAAATTTTGCTCGACTAATTCTAGTAATATTTATTTTTAATGCACATATTCATAAAGTCCTACAAATGATTCCATACTAATCTAAGTCCTTCCTCTGTCTGGCTATCTTTTTTGCAGCACATGGTGCAGGCTAATGTGGCGCCCTTTGCAGGCGCACCAACCGGCTATCCCGCCGCTCCAGGACCAGCGGCAGCGGCCGCTGCTGGTGCGCCCACGGCGGCCGAGAGCCTGTCGCTGGCCGTGACAGCAGCCGCCATCAAAACTGAGCCCGGCATGCAGCTAAAGGCAGCCGCCGAATCCTCAACAGCGGGCAATGGCAGCACAGGAGCCGCTGGTGTCGCGCCAGCAGCTGTGGCTGTAGCCACCAGCGTGGCAGATGGCGTCGTTGTCAATGCACCGTTGTATATTCAACAAAAGGTGAGTTTCGTCTAATAACTATTTCAAGCACTCACTCTCAACACTCTCTAACTCTAAATGTGTGTGTGTGTGTGCGTTTGTGTGTTTCTGTATGTGTATGAGTTTGTGTTTTTGAATTGTAATTTGTAGCGTTAATTTGGCATTGGCTTTTGGGTTCGGTTTTGTCTTGCTCTGCTTTGATTTGCCATTATGTAGTCGTTGACTGTGCCTATAACTTTGCACAAACATACACAGCCACACCCACACACACACACACACACACACACATTCACACATACTCACGCACACTCAGAAACGCGTTCATGTTAGTTGTTGTTTCTTTTACATATTTGATCACGTGCTCTAAGCTCTACGCTCACAATTTAGCATTCATATTTTTGTGGCATACTTTTGGGGCTGGTCCAGCACGTCGTTTGTGTTGTTGTTTATGCGCAGCAAAAAACGCCGAAGGACACTCTGCTGAGCTCTGTGGCTTGTATAAATCTCACAATTTATTTTATTTTCTCATTAAAAAAAGCAACAAGCCAATGTGTAGGCTAAAGCAACCATACTAACTAGCTAATATAGAGCAAACAACAACAAGCAAAATGCTATTTTTGGATTCGGCCTTAAGGGTATGAGTTCAAGCATTTAAATTAAATGAATCTTAAATATTTTATGCTCTTCATTTATTTAGCGAATAATGCTGAGTTTTTTTATTGAATCAGAAATGTTTGGAGGAATTTAATTTTTATATATTCACGACTCCGTGTGATTTTATTTCCCCTAGCTTTACTTATTTGAGGAGCCGCATGCGCTTATTTGTTTATGAAAATTGATTCGTGCATTTGAATAATTTACCAGCTGGACTTTGCATTTTTCAGCTAAGCTTTTGTGTAACATTTAATTTGTGTGCTGCACAATATCATGCACACACACACACGCACACAGACACACACACACATACATTTACGCAATTGTTTAATTGTTTGCATTTAAATGTTGGCGAACTTTGGCCTCCCATACGCAATAAATAATCAAATATTTAATTATTGGCAATAAAATTGCTTGTTGTTGTTTAATTTCGGTCTTTAACTTCAGTTCCAATTTGTCGTTATGTAGTTGACTTTGTGAATAAAGGCATCAATTTTCAACTATATTTAGCCCTTTGTTGTCTACAATGGATCGTTTAAAGACGTAGGCAACGTAGCCACATTTTATTTAAGCACACAATTCATCAACAAAATATGCCCACATGGTAAAGTAGTATATTTTGTATAAAGGAGCATTAGTCCGTACAACAATAGAAGTAACTGTTCTTTTAAGCTGAGGAAATCTTTAGCATTTCTTTAGCTAAATTCTATTCAAACTTTGAGCTGTCTTGATTTTACACACTCCATTACATAGCCTTTATAAGTACATATATACAGAGTGAATAGATTCAATTAGTCTAGAGGTATTTGCTTTATCTGAATTAAATATGAGTTTCTGTAGCTGCACAACAATAGAATCAAACTGTTATCATAAACATAACATAACTCATGCATAGACATGTAGATGGACAGAACTAACTGCGAACGACGACAGCTGAACAAATGTAATGCGAATTGCTTCAAGCCAATGCTTGCAATGGCATGAGCAAGAAACAACAAACAGACAACAAGACAACATTCCTGTCTCTGCCGTCTGAAACTATGACGTTTTTGCTTGAGCGTGAAGCTTCGATAAATCTATACGTATATATATTCTCTATATAACTATATATATCTGGCTCTCACTTGCTGTTAGTAATTTACCCCTTCCAACCCACAATGTTAAGCCATGCTTTAAGTTTGACAGTTTGCTAAACTGATTGATGAATTGTTATTGATATTGACTGGTTGATGGAGTCACATGTGTGTGTGCAACTTGAATAAATATAATCCTTGACATGTATTGTATGGTTTTTTGATACATAAATAAATATATATATATATATCATAGTTTAAGACTGTATAAAATATACACGAAACAAACCTGTTAAATCATTTTCTAGTTTTTCGCATTTTGTTATATCACTATTTTCATATATACTACTTATATAATTAACAATACGCTAGCTGTATTCGAGGCATGTTCAAACTGAAATAAACCAAAAGTGAAAAGCAACTAAACCATGGCAAATGCAGTTGGATATGTATTAGTTATATATATTTATATATATAAATATTTAATTACTTGTATACATATTTGCAATGTACTTATATACTAAGCAATTTTTTTGGTGTTGGTCGTTTGGTTGATTGCCTGACCGTCTGCCTATCGTAGTCCTTGTGTCACTTATACACTCTTTCACACACACTCACACGCCTACACACATATATGTATATATATAAATATATACATGCACAGCTATGAATGCGCCTGAAATGCCAACTAAACGCAAATCCTTGTTGTTATCCGCAAATTTATCACAGACAAATCTGTCAACACAACAACAACAACAACAACAACAAACACAACAGACACAGTACAATGGCAGCATTAGCAATGGGACCGCAGCTCCAACTACAGCCCCACTGCCACTGCAAGCAAGTGGTGCAGGAACAACTGCTCCGACGCTGGTCACGCAACAGCAGCAGCAACAGCAGCAACAACAGCAGCCACCCGCGCCTCTGACAAATGGACACGCGATGGAGCAACTGCAGCAGCAACAGCAGCAGCAGCAGCTACCGCATACCCCACAGAATGTGCTCAGCATTGTGAGTTTGGCCAACACAGCAACAGCAAAAAATTATAATAAAATAAACAGTCAAGAAAAGCAAAAAAAAAGACAACAACAACATAATAATATCAACATAAAAGAAAAACTCTAGAGCAATGCAAACAATTGGGATATACGTTTCATGAGTTCGGTATTCGGTTTCATGCTTGCTCTGGGTTTCTGCAGCTTAGTTTTTTGTTCTCTTCTGTTTTTGATGCCTTTTTGCTGACCAGCGCCTTCATTAAGCGAAAGTTGCTACTTAGTCGTAGAGAACCCACGTAGTTAGTACCCATTCATTGCAGCTTACGCATTGTCATTCCTAGCGCGTCCTTCAACAATGCTGTGCTGCATAACAATTGTCTAGGTTTATAATTTCTGAAATTTTGTTTTTTTTTTGTTAAGAGAGAAAGAGAAGCGGAGAACGAAGTGAAGCTTGGTCTTACAGCGAACTGATTAAAATTAAAATTTATGTGACATGCTGTTTAAATACATATTATGATTTGACGACCTATATATTATGCAAAATAATTACAATATTAAATTTAATACTAAGTTAAGTTCTACATCAATGCGACTAACTACTTCACGAATGTTAACCTGTTAGAAAACGAAACAATTCTCAAATTTAGGTTAATTTAATTTTGATTCGAAAATGCCAACACCTTTCGCATTCAATTTAAAACATTTAGCTCAAATTCCAAGTCCTTTGCATGTAACCCCTTGATTTTGATTGACCTATACTCTGCTGCATAATATAAAAAAGCATATCAGCTATATACATATGTATGGTATGTGATTATTTACGGACAGCTAAAAAATCTTTTCATCAAATGAATTGAAATTATAATCAGAGATTCACAAATACAAGGTCTGCCATATTACAGTTTGAGTAGAGTATGCCGTTGTCGTTGTTATGTGTCAGGAAATTCCTTCTTCTTTGGCTTTTTCTTTTGAACTTTATGCAAACATGCGAGCGACCTTTTTGCTGGCAGCGCGTCGCGTGCCTCACTGAAGGCATTTTATAAACTAAAAAGCGTTAAATGTCATTTTAGGGTAACCCGATCCCAATCCCAATTCCATTTCCAATTCCAGTTCAAATTCCAGCGGCCCCACTTCATTTTCAGGATCTGCCCACGTTATCGTTAGCCATTTATACGGCTAAAGTTTTTCACGCTATTTCACTTTAGCTCACCGCCAGCAAATGAATCCAAGGCAAAAAAAAAATAGGAAAATGTGCGCTAAACACGCAATCGGAATGGTATAGTGAATAGTTTGCCGCGATATCCATACATGTTTACAAAAGGAATTTGCTTTAATTTATGTGTCAACAATGCGCATTTAATGTGAAACTGCGAATGTATCCCTAAAATTGAGTTAGCGCCATTTCTATTGCCTACATTAAGGGGCGAAGGGGAAGCAAATCAAATTTATATGCTCTTAGCTGATGTTATTGCATTTGCCCATGCATTTTCATCGTGTGCGTCAATTGACAATAATATGAAATTATTCAAACCTACAGACAGATAAAGGACAGAGCGAAAGAGACAAGAGGAGATGGAGTGAGGGAGCAAGGGAGGCACATGTTTTGTGGCATGGTTGGTTGACTGACAACAATGCCAATAGGCAACATGCCACTGTGCATATTCAGTTTTAATAATGCAAAAATACAAATGCAAACATTTCCGCAGGGACATAGCCAGGATTTGGTTGCAGAGAGCGAGTGGGCGGGGAATTTGCTGCACTTGCGCGACAGTTTTATTGCATAAGTCAACAAAAGTCTGTGCCACAAATGTGCCATTTGCATCGGGTTCGACTATCTGTCCGATCTCTCTCTATCTGTTGGTGTGTGAGTGGGTGTATGCCCTGTAACCTTTCTTTTTTATTGGGTCACCCACACACACACACACGCACAAGTACAATAGTTGCACGTAGCGGTGCATAACGTGTGTGTGCCAGTCTACAAACCACTTGAAAATTGTATTTTCATTTCAATTGTTTATTTTTTGCGGCACTCGTTCGCATTCGATTTTCCATGTGGCAGCTGCAGCAACCACAACACCGTCGTCAACTACTGCCACTACAGATGCATCTACATTTCACCAATTATCAATAATACATTTACATTACGAAAGCATTTCAGCAGTTACCAAAGCAAGTGCTAACAAATATATTGTTGATATTGTATTTCAGTCAATTTGTGCATTGAAATCCGTCGAGAGCCAAGAACTTAAGCATAATTAAATTTAAAAACTGCAATGAGTCTGTAAATAATACTGCAAATTTGATTTATGCCACAAATGAATAACTATTGTATTGATTACAAATTATGTGAAATGAAAGTTAATCCTTTAATAAAACAATGTAGAGCTAAGATTTACCTATATTAAGAATGCCATAAAATAGAGAAATGTGTCAGCTTGTCATCGATATAAAAAATGTATGGATGTCCAGAAGGCTATCATCTATTTGATACAGCGTGATAGTTACAGGGGGATGGCATAAAGCAACACATCAAACCCATTAATTGGGAGAAAATGGAGTCAGTCAAGAAGCACGCCAGACATTATTTCAATATCAGATTTAGTTTAAGAATAAACTAAGAGTCAAACGTATTATACTCATTTGATTTTTCATTTTGTTCTCTTTATGTTTCTGACACAGTCCACAGTATTGATTGCCAACGAGGCAGCGGAGGCACAGCAGAATTCAGCACTGCCCCATTCTGGTGGAGGCGGCAGCGGTACTGGTGGTGGAGGCGGCGGCGGTGGTGGCGGTGGTGGTGGTGTCGGCTGTGGTATGCCTAGCTCACCGCTCAGCAGCTCACCGTCCAGCGTTACAGTCGCCCCGACAGCAGCCACACTCAACGGCAGCAGCAACAGTAATAGTATCTCGAACGATGGCAACATCTCGGGCAACACATCACCTATTGCCAGCGGTGAGCCGCTGCTGCAAACACCACCAGCTGCACAGCAACAACAGCAGCAACAACAGCAGCAACAGCAACAACAGCTCAACTTAAGCAGCAGTCCCACAGCAGCCACCTCGGTGACAGGCAGCTCCATAGCATCGGGCACCTTGGCCGCAACCAGCAGCAGCATCTCGACAGGATTGCTGCCCACAGCTGGTCTGGATAGTATTGCCAATTGCGGCGTGGCCACGGTCAGCGGCATTCTGACTGCTACCGCGCAATCACCCAATGTGGTCACTAGTCTAAACAGTGCTCAAGTCCAGCCGGTCTCCTCGTCGGTGGCTGCCGCCATGGCCGCTCCCGCAACACTGGACGCCAAAAGTCAACCCAAGCGCTTACATGTCTCTAATATACCGTTTCGCTTCAGAGATCCCGATCTACGTGCCATGTTTGGGGTAAGCCTACAGCAGCAAGTTACCATCTCCAACAATAATAACGCAAACTATGTTCTCTCTTAGCAATTTGGCAACATTTTGGACGTGGAAATCATCTTCAATGAGCGCGGCAGCAAGGTAAGTTTACAGGATGTATCCTCCATTCTCTATCCTGTTGCACGATTCATTTAAATTATGCACAGACCGAGCGGGCACTTGAGCCATTGTTAAGTGAAGTGATGTCCTTTTGTCCGGTGACGTTGCCAAGGCAACCTTGAACCATTGTGTTCTGGCTACAAATATCACTTGGATGTCCTGTCCCTCCATTTTCCGACACCAGTTGTAACGACAAAACTTCAATGTACCCTTAAGCAGACGCCGCTCGCAAATATAATTGCATAGCAACGGGCGCTGTTGCTATACAAAACGAAAAATGTGCATAATTTAAGGCGCTGACGCATGTCCCAAGATGCTGGGGCCCGCATGCCCACGGCCCCTATCTCCCTTCCACTCTGTTTCGTGTGTACTATATTGTAGTTTAGCAGTATGAGTCGGTGCCAACCTTGTTTTTAAATCGTACTTTATATATAAATATACCATATACTCTACCTGTATATGTGTATATCTCTGTATACACATCTACTTATATACTCTATATGTTTTTTAATTGCATGTTTGATTGCGAATGGCAGGGATTCGGTTTTGTAACATTCGCTAACAGCAACGATGCAGAACGAGCACGCGAACGTCTAAACGGCACCGTGGTTGAGGGACGCAAAATCGAGGTGGGTGCATGCAAGCAATACCATAAACCACTCAAACACACATCCACATCCACACACATACACACACAACACACCTACACACTTAGTTACATGCAGTGGGCAGCTATTATCTAGAACTAATTACAAAACTATCACAACTTTCTTATGTGCCACAAAATTTATATATATATATTTATATATATATATAAATATATATGTATATATAGATAGAGTAGGGAAAAGAATTTCGATGTGAAGAAATTGGTTTTCAAGTCTCGGAGTTTGCGTGTCTACGTGACGTGAAATAGTTTTCACGTGTTTTCGCATTGCAGAAAGAGTTTTATTTCATTTATTTGCCATTTTTATGAAATTCGGTCTGCATTGATTGCGCTTTTTGGCAATGCAATGCGTATTTAAAATCGGATTCACACATGGTCAGCGCACTTTGATTTCGTGTTTTAATCGAATGCTCATTAATTTTTAAATTATGCGCAGCCTTTTTTATTTGCCTTTAATTAAAAATTAATTACTTTTTTGCGTTCATTTCGCATTTCCTTGCGCACAGACAGACAGCTCACCAATTTTTGTATTTATGTTAAGTGGGCAGCCGCAAATAATTGGCATTTAAAATATGCTGAAAATGCGCAAAGTGCCAACTGATATTTAAACAATTTAACTGCGACCCCCAAGAGACGACAATCATTTTTTAATATTATTTTCATTTGCATTGTATTCTGCGCCATCGAAACCCGAAAGCTGCCTAATTATGCAGAATTGCAGTTGGGCGAGTGAAAAAATAATATTGATGGCTTTAAGTAACAGACAGGGAAGACACATGAACTTCAAGCACAAATATTGGTAATGGATTTTAGCTGTTAAAAAAGAAAAGGAAACTTTTTAAATAATTTGCCCTCACAGCTTTAACCACATACACACACACATACACATATATACACCTCATGCAATTGTAATTGTTAACTAACACAGAATTTATTTCTACGTTCTCTGTACATGCGAAATGCGATTAAACTATAATTTACAACAACAATAAAAATAAATCTATATAATGCGTACATTATATTAAAACAACAACAAAACTCACCACCAAAACCCACCACGCTCGCTGCAACTCAACTCAACTCTACTCGTTACTCGAACTCTCTCGTTACCAATAACCATTGTGAAGGTGAATAACGCCACTGCACGTGTACAAACCAAAAAAGTGACGGCAGTACCCAACGGTAAGTTGCTCTAACACACACACGGTCATATATACACAATATACACAGACACACTTACACACACACACACGTATAACACCTATATAGAACTTAGTTTAAGCTATGTAGCGAAACAAGTTTAAATGTTGAACAAAGAAATGCAATTACGTCTGGCCTAGAAGAACTATAAGAAATGAGAAGCACGCAAAAGGCAACTTAAATAACAACGACAACAAAAGCAACAACAACAACAAAAACAATAAAAACTTGAACACAACTGCCATAATATTTGACTGGCCATTGCCGTTGTTGCGCTTAGTGTTGATATAAATTTCGTTGATTTCGTTTTTCTAAAATTCGGTTTTCCTTTTATTTTTTATTTTCTTTGTTTAAGTTGAACTTTTCACATAAAGTTCTGTGGTGGCTGCAACTGCAATGCTAGCAAAGCTAAGCGAATGTTTCCTAATGAAAATGTTTGTTCGTGGAAATTTGTTATTGCTTATGATTTAATTTGAGGAACTTGTTGATAAGACGTATGTCAAGGCGTTAGGCAATCAAAAACTTGCTAACTGAATGGCCATACTAACAACTTTTGCCAATTTTGCGGTTGCTAACCAAACAATATATACACGCATATATAAACACATACAGATGTTTGATAAGAATTCGCCTTGTTTGTTCTATTAACCGGAGTTATGGATTTTAAGTGTTTGTCCTTCAATTTGTATTATAAACTGATTACTGTTTACTGATGATTGAACACAATCTGATAACTACGAAATAAAAATACCTTTTTTATTTTGTTTTCTCTCACACACCAACACACACAGTTGTACTGACCAAAGACGGTGCCCTACCGGCTCCAGCTCTAGGTGAGCGAACCAGAGAACAAATATAAATGGAAAATTAAATTTGTGTTGTCTTGTAACTTGCTTGCAAAGAGAAAAAACCATAAAAAAAAACTAAATAAACAATAATAGCTCGTGCATAATTAACCCACTTAATGTTGTCCATAGCCATAGGCACCTAATCATGATCCAGCCTAACCCTTATACTATATAGCACCCAACTCTATAGTCAACATTGTCCTGGCATGTTGCACGCTAACGGTGGCATGATACAAACCCCAATATTGGCTAAACAACTCGAAAACACCTGTAATACCCACAACTAAACGATTTTATCTAAGCATACAAGCATTTACACTCACAGTCCCAGCATGAATACTGTCCATGATTTCTATGATTGTTCTGTTCTTTCTGTACCTACAATTACTTCATTTGGCAGCAGGAACTTCATAGGCAGCTGCAACATATATATGTATATATATATATACTCTGGACTTGTAGTGTGGTTTCTTTTGAGAAGTTTTGTCAGTTAGAAGTTCTTAGTTATTTAATGTTACTTTTGCAGTACACACATTTTTATTTAAGCTTGTGGTTACCTCAAAGTTTGCTCCTTTACCAAAAAAAAAAAAAGACAGACGCAAAGCGACGATAAAAAAACGGCATGGAGAAGTTTTCCATGCCATGTATAATAAATAATACTGCTGATTAAATCGTCTTTCCATGCAAGTTGCCATTAAAAAGTATTCACAGCGCAAAATCTATACTTTAGTTTCGCTCAAATACGATAAGCCGATTACGAACCCAGCGCAAGCCAAACCCAAACCCAAACCCAAACCAACCCAACCAAACAAAACTGAACAGAGCTGAACGAGCAAAAGGGAAGCAGCTGAAATGTATCCAGCGGCTGCTCCCACGGAGTTTTTGCCTGCATGTGGACAGGACATGCAAAATGCTTTTGTATCGCCAACAGACAGACGGGCTGAGGGACGGACGGACGCACGGACAGACCTACAGATTGGAGATGAGATGCTGCACATGCTGATGCGGCTATGGCTGTGGCTGCAGGCAGCATCTTTTGCCTTAGGTGCCTTTGCCGTGGCCTGGCTTTTCCAGCCTGGTTCGCCCTGGCCACAGTCCTCCACTGCTCTCTGCCACGTGCACGTAATGCGCTTCATTTGCGTTGCACTAAATGCAAGCAGTGTGTCCGCTGGGACGCCTAGCTATTTATGCGGCTGCCAGCATATTATAGAAATAGTCAGTCAGACAGACAGCCAGACGGGCAGACAGATAGTCAGACAAACTGAGAGGTAATAGTAGTTTTGCTGGATAAGCGGAATAGTGGGGAAGGCAGGGAAGCACTCACTTTATCACGTTTCGAACTGGCTTCACTTGCCTGGCAAAAGACGGGCAGCATTAGCTTTAGAAGGAGTGAAGGGCACAGCTCACGTTGTCTTATTGCTCGTTACGTTGGAAAAGACATGCAGAGCGGGACGAGGGTGAGGCGAGTAGTAAGGATAATTACAAAGAAAATGGAAAGCACACAACGTTGCAAACATGTTGCGGCACACACATAAATTTTAGAAGCAAAAAATCAAAAACTTCTTACCAACTCCAGATGCCTTCTTGTCCTTCATGTCCCTAGGTCGTAGTTTTGTTGCTTTCGTCTTGTGTCTTATGCAAATGTGTTTCTTTCACACACTCTCACTCATACACTGTGCTCCATTTTGCAGAAAGTTTTGCCTTCTGTAATGTATGTAAGATTCCCCCACACCTACACATATCCATGTTTATATATATAAATATATACATATGTATATTTGCTTATGTTGATCCTTTGACATAGTCAGCTTAATGCGCCCAACCAGCAGAAACAACAATTCCAACTGCCTGACTGTGTATGTCTATTTGACATTTATTTTAATGTGCTTTTCGATTTTACCTCCCCGTCATGTGTTTGTTTAGAAAATAAATTGTTTAGCAAATAGCGGAAGCGCAACCGACAGTTTATTTGCTATTTAACTAGCTTTTGCATCATTGTGAAGCATTTCAATTTTTCATTGCATAATTTTGTGCGCTCACATATCAAATTTGGTCGATGAGATAGAAATTGGCAAATTATTTATTACAAACAGCATGTCAAGTCAAAAGTTAATTACCTCAATGTCTCCAAACATAGCTAAAAACTTAAAAAAAAAATAAATAAATAAAGGATATATGTTATATCGAAATGCATGTTCTGTGCTGGCAACCAAACCCTTCTCCCCGCAAGCTTTCATTAAAAAAAAATACAGAAATCCCGCAACTGCATCTAGCACGGGCCAACTTGTAAATGTTATTGATCCTGCGTGTCATGTCTATAAAACTCTGTACATATACATAAAAGCGCAATTTAAATGTAAAACTAATTTTAAGTTTTCTCTTGATTTTTCCATGCCCGCAACAACAACAACAACTTCAACAAATGCAACAACAACCGACAAAAAATAACTACACCGATTTCTATAAATCAACTGACTATAGTTTGCGTACAATGGCCTGAAGGTAAGCGTTCTGTCACGTTCTATTTGTATTCTTTTGCTGTATTTGTATTTTGTATTTATTGCTTGCCGTGTATTTTGTTATAAATTCTCAAATAACACAATTGAAAACATGCACACACACATACACACACACACACTTAAATATATTCACACAACTATTCAGAAACAATAAGTTATCTTTAATATATACGGGACCCATTCAGTTCATAATATAACTATAAGTTCTGGTATATTTTTAGAGTGTAAGCGAAACCAAGTACATAAAAAGACAACAACGACAATATAACTATATATATATACTAGGCAGCTCCCTCTATATCTCTTCATGTGAAATGTATTATAAGTAACTCTGGGATCTTTGACAGTTCGAGAAAACATTTTCAATAAGCCATTCAAACTCCACTCAAATGCAAATTAAATAGATTTATTGATTTACAATGTTAGGTTCCAAGTTAAACTGTATGCATATTATATACTCGTAAACCTTTTTTTTACAATACTAAATATTTGATGACTGTTTTTTAATGTAATTTTTTTTTCGTATTTTTTTCCATATTTGCCAAATTTAAAAAAAAAGAATTAAACCAAAAATAGAAAACAAAACACGAATGAAAAATCAATTAAAACAAATTGAAATAAACAAATATCGTTACTTACCGCTCGTAAACCCCATTTAAATCAGGCGCGTCACCATTTTCTTTCTAGACTTAATGATGCTGATGATCTTGTGATCAGCTAATAATGGTTATGAATTTTAGCATATTGCGGCTGTGTTGTCTTATGCATACTACTTAACTACTATATATATATATATATACACTATTAATAAATATATATATATTTACTATAATTTTATATACATATCTGAACAATCAATATCATTTTGTTTGACACATTTATTTAATCAGTTTTGTTGTATGTGCGTTTTGTTTTATGTCCTTAGTTCGTTTTATGTTTTGACATATTTTGGTCTGGTTCTTTGGTCTGAACATTGTCGGCAATGCTCCTTAGCGTAATTAATTATTACTTATGTATATACACACTCACACACACACACGCACACACACATCCATACATATACAACTACAAACAGGAATGTATGTAACTGTTAATTTTCGTCGCGATCCAAACAGCTTTATTAAGCACTAGACCTAAGCTCTATACAACAGAAAACCCGATTCGAACGAAGAACCACTGCATCCCACAATTCGAAATGTAAATACGACACACACACACACATACCCACATACACCCACACACATATATACCTTTAAAGCTCTTTATATATGTGTGTATGACAGACACGCATTCACACGTAGTCCAGATTCATCCACTGATTCATCGAATGATACAAATACAATCTAACAAAATTTATGAACATATATGTGAACCTCAAGGTTATCGGCTGCCCGTGGCCGCCGCTTGGCCTTTTTTGGGTGCGCCCGTTGGTGCCGGAGCGCCGACGTTGACACCGATGGCGCTGCAGATGCCACTGTCGGTGGCGCAAGCGGCAACGGTGCCATCAGCGGTGCACAGCGCGCCCACGCCCACAGCTTCGCCAGCAGCCACGTCCATTGTGTTGGCGCCCCGCCATCCGGCGCACAGCGCACTCCCAGCAGCTGTGACGGCGCAAACTGCAGCACCACCAACGACACGGCGGAGGTACATTGAATTGAATCGTCGATCGCATTTCTTTGAGTGTATGCGCCAAAAAAAGCAGAATTCAAAAATTGAGAAAACTCGTTGACTTCCACAAGAGACAAACACACACACGCACACACATACTCTCAGAGAGACATACGTAAATACTACACACATACACACAGACACACACACACTCACACAGAGGCATAACAGCAAGCAACAAACTTAGTTTTGAGATCTGTACCATATACTTACCTACATATATATTTGTTGTCTTGTTATTTTGGTTACGCATTTGGGTTTGACTATATGCTAAGTACTATATATTGCATATCTGTTGGACGCCCTTGAGTTTGCATTGTTCAACGGCTAGGCGACCACAAGCAAACACAACCCTAGAATCAACCAATCAATCAGTCAATCAATCTACCAACCAATCAACCAACTAGTGTCAATTTCACCTGACAACTGTAATTAGCTCTTAAGTATGGAAAGGTTTTTAGCTTTAACCATAGTGTACTTACCTACATAATACGTAGTTTATAAAGTGCCCTATATCGTGTGACGGTAGACAATTTTTGCGAAGCAAGCGTTTTATAAAAGGCATTTCATTTAGTCTCATTAGCATCTTTCTCTATATCTATCTATCTATCCTTCTCTCGCTCTGGCTCTATACATATATTTCTTAAAATTTTCCTAACTGTTTATACTCTTGATATGTTTTTACTTACTTTGCAATTTTGCACGTCTGACTTTTTTTGTGTTTTCATTACCAAAAATATGGAAAATAAGAACTAAACAAAATGAAAATGAAAATGGAAATGGTTATTTGTATAAAAGTTGGGCCTAGGAAGTATGGTCAAAAATTGATACGATACGTTTACAATTTGTTGCATGCCACAAAATGATACAGCCCAAAATTCGGAACTTTGATTGCTTGGCTCTAATGCTTTTTTATTTGTAAATAGTAAAAATCGAAATTAACTTTTGGCAATTGCATTCAGAAATGGGCCATGAAATTGCTGAAAGTGCAAATATTCCATATTACATGTAAATATTATCTCTGCCGAGCTTTTAATTGGCATTTAAACAGCGAAATCGAATTTGATTCGCATTCTAGGCAAATAAATTTGCAATTTGATTTTGGCTCACATATATTCAGTAATTAATTTTTGTATTTGGCATATCGCATTGAAATACATTTGTGTGCAAGTTCCCAGATCTCCAATTATGGCCAGCAAAGCGCAGCGCTCTTGTCCAATTTATTGCGGTCTGACTGCTAATTGTTTGTCACGAGCAACATAAAATGTATTTTTAATTACATGTCGATGCTCAATAATGCGATGGCATCCATTGATATTTGACAGATTGTACAGAATGCTTCGCCCAACTGTTTTTAAGCTGGATTAACTTGAACACAGACACCATCGTTCTCACGCGCGCATAGCAATCATCTAATTGTCTATTATCTGTAAACGTTAGCTTTAATCCATTCGGCACCATCAATATTGTTTTTAGTAAATGTGTTTTCCTAGTTTTGATTGTATTTAAAGGTTTAAAGGTTTTTGAATCGTACTACTTTCCATATAAACGTTATCTTTTGCTTCGTTTTCTGAATACCTTTAAAATAGTTTGACCAACATTTAAATGCAACAAGTTGTACAAACAAAGTGTCTTGCCGCATACACACGTCAAATGCAAACTCTATTTATATTTATATATATATATATGTTTCTATTCTAAACTGCAGATCGGTCTAATGTTTTCGTATTGTTAATGGATGGTCTTATTATAATAAATCGTATATATATATATATATTTATATAGAAATAATACACTCAATATACAAAACAAAACAAAACTGCGTAGCATTTGTTGGTAATTCAATGTTATATAATATTAATTAAGTATGTTTCTGAAACCGAATTCCCCTTATATGACTGGCTCACGTATGTCTTATGTATTGTTATATGTATATACCAACAAGATCATTTAAAACTCAATCGATACTCAAATATCTTTACATTTAAACAGTTACTACATATTGCCTAGTATTTGCTAAACATATACTCTATGCTATATACTACATATATAAATGAATATATTATATAAATTTACTTATATAAAGAGAGAGAAACTAACCGCATGCATTTTATGTTCTTTTCTTTTCCTTTTTTCTACTTTTTGCACACGAACACAAATACACACACACACAAATACACACGAAACGTAAATAAAATATAATTCGTGTGTTCAAACACCCAACCACACACACACTGACAACACTCACACACACATACACACTGGTAAAAATGTTGTGTACAAATCGTTGCAAAAAAAAAACTCAATCAAAAATCAAATTCCAAAAAGAAAATCGTTTTGACCGCCTCACAGCCGCCGCCGCCGCCGCTGCCATGCATGGAGCTGCCATGCCACATAGACACATGGGCGTGGTCGGTGCCACACCCTTCCATCCTCGGCACCATTATCCGGCGCTGGTAGCCGCCGCTGCCGCCGCTCAGCAGCAACAGCAACGTCAAGTGGCCGCCGCTGCCGTGGCCGCAGCTGCTGCCCAACAGCAGCAGCATCAGCAACAACAGCAACAGCAGCACCAGCAGCAGCAGCAACAACAACAGCAGCAACAACAACAACAGCAGCAGCAACAGCAACAACATGCCGCAGTCGCCGCCGCCGCCGCTGCCCAACACTCACAGCACGCCGCTGCTGCCGCCGCCGCCGCCGCTCACACACATCCGCATGCCCATGCGCATGCGCTCGCGCCTCAACTAGCCCAGCTGCAGCCAACGCTGCAGGCCGTTGCCGTGCCCACTGCCGCTGGCAGTGCTGCGGCTGCTGCCGCTCAGCAACACTCGGCGCTGCAGCAATCCCTGGCAGCGGCCGCAGCCGCACAGAACTCAGGTGTGACGGGCAGTGCGAGTGCCGCTGCCGCCGCCGCGTATGCGGCGCGACTATCCGCTGCAACGGCATCCCAAACACCGGCCGCTGCTGCTGCGGCTGCTGCTTCCATGGCAGCGTCGGCTAATGCGGCCAACAATGCTGCCGCTTTGCATGGATTTGCGCCGTAAGTAGAGCCCACTCCACGTTGCCCAAAAAAAAAAAAAAAAGAAAAGAAAAACAACCAAACGTCGTCGTCGCAAAAATCGCCATAAAGAGAAACTGCCATGTAGCTCTAGTTGTATCTTGTTATTTTATTTTTTGGTTTTTTTTTTAGTTAAATAATCTCTATATATTGAATGTAGTTTTAGCGCACTTACTTTTTGTTCATGTGGTGTCTACGCTCGCTCTCGAACGCTTACTCAACTCCAATGCCAACAATGCATTGCTGCATTGACAGCAGCGGCAGTGGCAGCAACAACAACTGGCTCACTGTATTGCATGCAACGAATAATTACGCATACGCCGTGTTGTGCACGCTGCTGCTGCTGGTATTGCAGCTTCTCTCCAACTGTCATTATTTTACACACTTAACTTATCCTTATCCCTCTGATATTAGCCTCACCCACTCCACTCCCACCCACTATCCATCCATTCCATCTTCGAGCGCAAATTTGTTTATAGCTTTAACGTTGTTTTGTCTCTCGATTTTTGGTCTATGCGGTGATTCTTTTGAAATATTTAGCTACCTTGTGTGTGTAACGTTTTTATAAGTATATCCAACTATATATGCATAGCGTCACATTTGCCTAATGTACCATCTAATTAAATCGCAAGTTTAGACTTGTCTCTTGTATAAAATCAACAAACAACAACAACAACAAACAACAGCTATAAAAGCAGCTACCAATTAACGCACGCCAACTACTACATTAACTACTTAAATACCCAAAAACATATTTATTCTTGACTGAGAGCAGTTTCTTTTGGCATTCGTATCTTAATATTCGTATAAGTTTTTGATTACTTTGGTTGAAGGGTCCTACGTAATATTGTATATTGTGTACCACTAGGCGTATGATGACATTTGACATTTAATATGAATTGAATTGAATTGAATTTAAAAGAAATGTTTTTGATGCGTCTGCTGCTGCTGCTGTCGCGCATGTTTCCTCTATATCTCAAACAATTATTTATATTATTATTTCCAAATACACCCGTTTATATTTTATGTTCCTTTGTGGCTGCTGTTCTATAACTAAATAATAGCGTATGACTGACAATGATAACAATGATAATGCTACCATTTTATATGAAATTCTACCAAACTAATTAGCTAGGTGCATGAATGTCTCTCCTGTCTATTAAAGGGCAGAGTTCGAAAAGTGTTTCTTATACATTGTTTTGTAGACTCGGGACAGTTGTATTGTAACCTCGTACTTACCACATATGGTTGATTATCCTTGCTAGTGTTCTACTTATAATTTACATGTGCATACGCATTATCTAATAATCACCTCGTCATCAGTTAGGTTAGCGCAGGCAGAGGGGAGGAATTAGATGAGGCAGGTTAGAGTTAGATGCTAGGTAATTTAGGCTTGAGTTGGGCTCAAGTTAGGCTACATTTAGGGCTCCCTTACGTTTTCAGTTACACCTTGAGTTTCAGCCATTTTACCCAATGTACCCGGTACAAAAAATAAATATTAAAAAGAAAAACAACAGAAAAGGGCACCGGCAAAGTTTTCGCATTAAATTACAAAATTTTTCTACGCTAAAACTTTGCCTTTGCCTTCTGTTGAGAACGCCCAAACCAAAATCCACACACAAGTGCGTTAAAAAAGATTAATGAAAATAAAATAATAAAAAACGACAAAATAATATTTATAAAAATTTTTGAATTTTGCTTTTAAGTGCTATATATATATATATAAAATATATTTATATATGTATATAAATATCAAGTGACAGCCAAGTCCGATCAATAACAGAACAGTTCTGAAATGTTGTGGAAAAATTGTGCACAATATTGATCGGGCTCTGCTGACTTGCGAGACTAATGAATGAAGTTACCTACTTAGTTATTAATCTACGAATCTTATCCTTCTACTTAAACACCCACAGCGTATACTATGATCACTTCTTAGCAGCCGCTGATCCAAATCTACGCTTCCAGGTAAGTCTATACAAATTGTACTCTGCGATTACTAGTTAAGACAATCATTTAGGCTTAATATTAGTGTAATGTATGCTAAGATACATTTATAATATACACACATATAGTTTAAAGCTGGCTAGCTAAACAACAACAAAACCCCTAACTTCTTGAAAAAAAAAATAAATATATACACATATATATATTATATATGAATTTTACAGGCAGCCAAACCGGTCACTGAAGTTCCAGCCGCACAGCCAGCCGCCATATTAAATGTAATGAAACCTATTCAGATTGATACGTTAACCGTAAAACATAACAAAACCGTATTAAGAACGTTCTTGAAACTACAATATTTATATTACTCTCGTACATACACATTTATTCACACATTACCTTCAATTGTAACTTGTGAAAGACACCAATATTTGACTTGGTTTTTGAACAGAACATTCTTCTCCTATATGTTTGTACATTTCTCGCTCTTTCTATTTGTTCCTATTATTATGATTATGATTTGATTTTATTTTCGATTTACATATTTTTTAATGCATACAACACTAACGACGAGTTTTGAGATACACTTTTATATACCACTTACGTACCCACACATTGAGAAATGGTGTTTTCTATTGTTTATCTTATCCTTTGGTAACTGGTCGTGCAACTAAGTCTGTAAAATTTGTTGGCATTAGCAAGCGTGTATACGTACAACAAACCAAAAACAAAAACAAAATATATGCATAAATATATCACAAATTCCAACTAGGGCCGAGTGTCATTAACAAAAACGAAAAAACTATATATATATATATATCATACATAAGTAATTGCTTTTATGTATTTAAATACTCGTATTCATGTAATTTAATCATTGTTCTATTACGTCTATTTCTATCTGCGAAGCGATTACTTATATGCATCGCTTAATTATCTTGTTAACACATTTTCTACAACTAAGTATCACACGCGTAGTCTCCATAAAAAGAAAATTTATAAAAAACAGCAACAACAACAAATGCTTTAATTAGCGGCCATAAAAAAGACGCATAGTATACTTTCAGGCTGCATGCCGCTCTTACTCTCGCTCTCTTTCACTCTTTTTCTGTCTGTCTTTGTCTATTTTGAAGCGAAAGAATATTTAAATTTTTGTTTTTTTTTCTTTTTCACATTTTAATCTCGCAAGTTTTTGTTTGTTTGGTTTTTCTTCTTGCGAAATCTGCTTTGCTATCTATATATACATACTGGTATTAATTAAATTAAATCTATAATTAAGTAGCATATAAATAACTATTCTTCAATGCTGTGAACATTTTCGTAATTTTACTAAGTATGTATTCTTTTTTTGGTTACTTTTTTCACGACTGTTACAACATACGCAACAACAACAACAACAACCACCACCACAACAACTACTGCATCAAATATCTATACAACATTATCAAAACTAAAACGAAAAAAATACCGAAAATTATACCAAATATATCGAAAAACTTACAGCGCCGCACTGTGACTACGCTAAACAGTACCCCACATACGATCAACCGCATTCCGGTACCACAGAATGTTTTGGTAAAAATAATCATTTTTAGCTAGAAAAATTTGAAAAAAAACGATGAAATTCAACTTTCAAATCCATTAGAAAATTAGTTTGTTGTGCCCAAATTTAAATTGTTTGTTTTATGTATGTGTGTTGTTTTTTCTGTTTTTAATTTTCATGGGACTGCGCTTTGTCTCTTGCACCCATATCTAAGTTTTAATCCGATACTAGCTATAATCTTTATATATACATATACGATATAAGTTCATTATGAATCCCTGCACTTTTGAAACTTTGTTTGTAGCATTTACTTACTCCGTACATCCATAAGACTTTGGCATCTTGGGTTTATAGCTTGAACTCGCTGGTCACATCCTTGAAATTATATTTCTGTCTACTATAATAAGCAAAGAGTAAAAAACGCACTGATATAATTTGATTGCACTCCTCTTATGTTTGGTTCTAAATCCATATATGTGTATATATATAAATATTAAATGTATATATACATATATATCATTTTATTTATTATTTTTTTTTTGGTTTAGGTTCTTAACTCTTTTTGCCATTTTGCTCTCTATCACCTGTCGCTAGTTTTGTCGTTTCCGTTGTATCTACTCGATTTACCTTCCCCTTTAACACACAATTTGCTTCACATTATTCCAGGCCACTGCTCCGCTGTTAAAGACTCCCCTGTCTCAGGCCCAGCAGCAGGCGTATGCCACCACCTACACGGCGGTCGCTGCCCGGGCCGCCTACGGGGCCGCTGCAGCTGCAGCCGCCCAGCCAGCACTCGCTGGTTACGCCACCGTAGCGGGGTAAGTTTTCATCTCAGTTTTCCACGTGTCCCATTCGCTGCATCAGCCACTGTTCAGCTGTTTCACACTCATCGCTCACAAATGCTCCACGAAACACGTGACTCAACCCACAGTTAACCCACAAATCCGTAAACTAAAAACGTTAAATAATCCAACTAAAACTTAAATAAGCTTATATGTTAACATTAAGATTGATCTATTCTTATATCTATTCGTAATTACATATGAAAAAATAAACTCCGTCTTCAACAAAATTCTATTGTATTTCATAATTTATTTGTATTATTTCTTACAATTTTCTTATTTTATTGTATTATTTATTATGTTTAAATGTATAAATATATTTGTTTCATAAACATCTTATATATATTCGGTGTCTATATTTGCTTAATCTGTCTGTATCCGGTCATATGGATAGCTCTAAGACATTTTTGTATATTTTCGACTTTATTTTATGTTTTATGTTTTAAAAGATTATTATATTTTAAACCGTAGATTATGTTTTGATACTCCGAAATCGACTATTTTATGTTGCATTCAAAAAATAATAATAATTTAGTTATCAAAACTGTTTTTCTATTATTTGATATCTATTATATTTCGTAGTTATTCATATGATTGATAATATATTTAATATAATTTCCTTTTTTTTATTAATTTTTTTAACACTTGACTAATTAATTTGATTTGATTCTTTTTTATACAATTCGAAACTCATAAAATAACTTATCAAGAGTAGCAAATGTCTAACACCGAAAACTGAGGCCTTACAACTAACAATTGAACATTTTTGCAAAACCGTATCGAAATTAAACAATTTCTACTAATAATAACTGATAAGAGGATGGAGAAATGAAAAGATGTGAATGAGATGAAGAAGAAGTGGTATTAAAAAAGATCATTTATTGCACACACTCATGCTGTGCGGAAACACACTTGAGAACGAAACAAAACTCACACACAAACTAAAGAAAACTAACCCACGTGGAGGCATCAAGAATCTGTAGCATTCCCATATCATATTTATATCACCTATTTATCGTTTCAAACTTAACTAATTTTCCGCAAACGGAATATTTCTAGTTACGCGCGCGAGTATGCGGATCCTTATCTTGGACATGGCATTGGACCCGTGCCCGGCTATGGGGTAAGTGGTTTTTCTCTTTGCAACTATTGCTTGACAAATGACTTAAATAAATATAAAATCTCTGTTTAAAAATATTACTAAATTTCCATTTTCTCCATCTGCTACTCCAATATCCAATATCAATCAGGCAACAATATACCGCGGTGGCTACAATCGTTTCGCGCCATATTAAAAAGCTTCAGAAGTCAGCCAAATAACGCAATTGAACTACTCTCGAAAATGCTCAATGTATGAACAAGAATTAGACGTAAATACTCCTCCTCCTACAGTGCAGTATGTAGCAGTTGAATCTATATATATAGGTCCAGACACGCAGAAACAGATGCTCAAAGATGATCGACAAAACGCGGAACCCACTCAAACAAAAAATGGAGAGTTGAAAATCAAAGCTAAAAGCAGCCGCAAGCTAGCGGCCAATTACGCAAGAGTAAAATTAAAAACAAAGCAACAATTTTTTAAACAAAAAACAAATCAATGTCGTCCATAAAAAAAACATAAAAACAAAAAGAAAAACAAATGCAGTATACACAAAATATTTAAATGGCAATTAGTTTGCAAAAAACGTGCTTCACGCGTAGATTTTTACTAAAAACAAAAGCTGAAATTTTGTGCGGCAGAATTTATATTTAAAAATTATATACCTACTGGATATATTATTATTATACCAATAGATATTGTAATTGTATATCAAAAATGAGCAATTCTAATGTATTTTCAGGCTGCAAACTCCATAATTGACAAGATACCCAGATCAAGTTTTGCTTTTTAGTTTTGTTTATTAAGTTATCTTTATATATATAAATTTGATGATTTCTGTTTCATGTATTTGTTACATATAGCATTGTAGTTTGTAGTAAACACAAAACAAAATAGTATATTTGAAAATTATTTTTCTAAAAAAAAAAACTCAAAAACAAAACAGAGATAAAAAGTTGCCAAACAACTAAAGAAAAAGTTTCAGAACATTCATCTGATAATCGTTTACCTTAATTTCTCTATACGTTTGAAAGTCTCCAAAGAATACTCATTTTATGATTGTCAACTTATTTATTTTTAAAATGTTTTTATCTGCTTTGCTCCAGATTGTTCCTAGACACTTTTTTCGGCAGCTATAATGCAAAAAGTCAACTCAATGAAAATGAACATGAAAATGATATTGCTCAACTCGTAGTGCATAAGTAAATGCAAAAGATCAACACGTAGACATATCCTTGGAACATACAATAATAATTACTTTAATGCGGCCGTAGCAGCAACAAAAAAGTCTTTAATAGAAGAAACAACAAATAAATATATATAATGAGTAATAATAATAAACATATTAATGCAGAATAGTTTTTAAATTCAAGCTTCCAGTGACAGAGATGAAAACATGAAAATTTCGTAGTAAGCATTAAAATAAATTACATTATTAGCTCTTACTATGTAGCACTTTCTTTGTGTGTTGTGTAAAAACCAAAAAAAAAAAAAAAAAAAAAAACCCCAAAAAAAACCAAGCAAAATCCGAAAAAAAATACAAAAAAAGCAAAATTTATATATTACATAACTTCACATCGTTTCAGTGTTGTTAATTTTTTGGTCTAGACCACAAAACTTCCCTAAGCAAGCTAAGAATTTATTTTATACACACTCTATCAAGTCTAATGCACACAATTAACTTATACAGTTGTGTATTTTGAAATGTATGTTGGAGAAAACCAATCCATAGAAATAACAAAAACAAAAACAAAAAACAAATGCTCAAGAAGTAATATGACCTCGTTCTCTATTTCGATTCTTAGACAGCTACTGTCCTAAGACTTATACTCGTTGTTTAAATATAAAAAAAAAATACAAAAAAAAAAAACAACAAAGAAAAAAAACTAATTCGTATACCTTTAATTCGTTTTTTGTGTATATGTGCAATTGCTCCTTCGAATTTATCCTTTTCGCTCAAAGAAACTCGAAAACATTTGCTATTCATCTTCTATTTTCCAATTATATATTTAATTTTTGAGATTGTACATAATTACTATGAATTTTCTTATACTCACACATACATATACACACACACGCACAAGCACAAGAGCAACTCGAAGCAATTTATGTCATACTCAGATTTTAGATGTTTACAGAGTGTTTCTTTAAATACAATTGCGGAAAGAAACAACAAAAATTAAATATTTAAACTATGATTACGTTGACATTTTTCAAGCCAAAGTTTATATTTAAATATGATTTTTAGTTAGATTTAGTTATTATGCGGACGACGGACACACACAAAAAGAAAGTGAAAGAGAAGAATAAAAACAAAAACAAAAGGAAAGGGAAAATAATAATAAATGGAACAAATCAATTCAAACCCAACAATTGCCAAATTAAATGTAGCTTTCAAGTGAATAGACTCTTAATTAAATTAAAAAATAAACAAAAGCAAATGAAAATGAAAAAAAAAAAGAAATCTTTTAAATAGCACAGAAATAAATACATATATTAACAAATCTAGAAAAATAAAAGTATATCACACTTTTTGGCAGCATACACACAGGAAAATGAAATACTTTTGGGTTTGATATACAAGGCGAAATAAACCAAGTAGTTATTAAAACTCTAACATAATAGAATACATAAAAATTTATAAACTCAACTTCCACCGCAATTTTTTAAAACAAAAACAAAAACAAAACACAGTCTTAAGTAAGGTATGAACTAAAGTCAACCTAAGTATAAATATGTAAAATGCAAACGCAACTCAATCAAACACTGCAGCTATAAATATATTATAATATGTATACTACATACCTACTTTTAAACTATATATTTTAAATTTTATTTAACACTTTCGATACTTTCTGTGCGCCCGCCCCGCCCTCTTACACACCCAATTATAAACACCCAGTACAAGAGCAAGAATGAGAATTACGAATCTTAAAGCTGTAATCTTTAATCTGTGTAGTCTAACCATAAGCCAGCGCCGCTTTTGTTCACTTTCACATAGAGCATACGCATAGGCGTTATATAAAGTATAAATATAAACTATATATATAAAAATATATATTATATGAAAAAAATACTTATCTTTAAAGATGTGCCAAATTGTAAGTTGTACCATTTGTTTTTATGAATGGACAAAGCAAACAAATGCAAAAAATTAAAATAAAAATAAATAAAAAACGAAAACAATATAAAAAAAATATATATATATGAATTGAAAAACTTGTGAGCAGAAATTCCCCTCCCCAAGACGAATGATTGATTAATTGTTTAGACAGACAGATTTCAACACTTAAACGATGATGGAAAATATTTTTAAAACTTAGCATTGTGTATAGAGACGAGAGTTAGAAGTTAAGCGTCCCCAGGCGCTTCCTTACAAACAGAATTGATAACACAACAAAAGAGACGAATAGTATTATATTAGCGGACTCCCGCACCAATCACATACACAGCCGCTTCTCTCTCTTCCAAAGATGAAACATTCTCGAACCTCCCCTCTTAACTCCATTGACTTTCATTTATACACACGCACAGAGATACAATCCCATGCATACAGAAATGGCCATAAACATGAGACAAATTTAATTGAGCAAAAACTATATATTGGTTTATATCAATTTTCAATTTGTAAGGTTGTGACAAATTGTAAACAAGCATAAAAATTAAAATAAAAATGGGAAACCTTTAAAAACGTGCAGAAAATGTAATAATATATGCGAACGGCAAATAGAATAGCGCAGAGAAACACAAAACAAACAAAATAAAACAAAAAGAATATTTGAGATTCATACAAACGAAAAAAAGAAAAAAATGCAATAAAAATAAATTTTAAAAATATAAAATACAACTTTAACTGGCATTTGTTATTTACTGAAGCTATTGATGGGGCACAAATGGAAGTGATTTGCATCTCGTTGACTGTTTCACGCAGTTGTTCCACTGCTTTATTAGAAAACCATTTAACATGGAGTATAAATCGATGCTATAAGCTGAACGACAAGTGAAACAAGAAATATGAAGGGTGCTTAAGTGGGGATTGCCCGACTAGGGGATACTCGCCGTGATGCTGATTTAATCATTATAGATATATTTTTTCATACAGATACTATATCGTTCAACCACAAACGCTCGCATACAATAAGTAAGTACTTCGAGAACTGCGCATTTAATCATTATAGATATATTTTTTCATACAGATACTATATCGTTCAACCACAAACTCTCGCATATTATAAGTACTTCGAGAACTTCGAGAACTACGCATTGGCTGAAGGCTGGAGAGGCTGCTCTTGTTCTGCGATTACCCATTATGAGATACTAGTTATCAAATAGTTTTAGTTTTCGATGTACAATTTTAATAAACTCATGAATATGATATCCAAAAGTTGGTATATACAAAAATTTAATTTTCTTTTAATTATGGAGGAATATGGGAATTATTCTACAATAAAAAGTCATTTCGAAAATTGATGGTCTTCATGTCAATTTCAAAGCCTGCGTCGAAATATTGATTTGCATCGATAATAAGGAAATAAAATATCGAAAAAAAAAATAAATTTGTGTTGATTGATGTGAATTCAAATATGAGATATCATTATTATAGCTGGCGGCGTCCATATAGGCGCGCTATATCGACTCAGCCTGTACTTCTGACCAAGTATATATGTTTCTAAATAGGTAGGTCATGCCCCTTTCCTAACATGTATATATTTCTCTTGAACTGAAGTAGATATAAATCTGAAATCTCTAGCTAGCATCGGATAGAAAATACATTTCTAAAAGACGCACAACAAAATGGAATCGAATGTAAAGAGAACAATACACATTCATTACTTTGTGCAAGAAATAAAAACAAAGCACTTCATCAACTTTTTGAACGAGTATAATTATGCAAATTTTTGTGTGTTTGCAAAACGGAAACCTTTTGATGTTTGACACCTACACAAGAGCGCACGCACACACCTATGCACGCACAACAAAAGCTGATCAGTCAACATTTGCTGTGGCACTTTTTGTTCATTCCATTTCAATTCATGCCTATTACAGTTGATGTGCGGTCATTACAAACATTTAACACCTCCCAAGTACAGAGTGCGCGACATGCAAAGGCTATTAACCCGATTAGATCAAGTGGGGCGAGCAGCGAGTTCGCAATGGGTCTCTAATTATTCAGAGCCTCACATTTGATTCAAGAGTATACAGCTACACACCCACACACACGCACAAACAGCCAGACATCCGCTGTTTTAAATGGGCCATGACAAACTGGCCGACCACAGGAAGTTTACGCCTATGCCCCAGCTCCTAGTTTCAGGCGGTTAGTTCAGCTTTGCCCTGTGACCTCGCGGCTGTGGCCCACAGTGTGACATAATAAATTATGCTGCATAGCAATGATTAATTTGAGC